GACTTGGAGGCGAAGGGAAGGGAGAGGGGGGAAAGAATGGATCCCAGGTGCTTCTGCCTGTCAGAGGGGCTGGAGCACACTTCCGGTGATGTCAGGGGGTGTGGCATATGCTAATAAGTTATGCTAATGAGCTCCTGCAGCTCTTTGTCTATGAAATGACCCCTGGCAACCACAGCAAGGGATTTTCAAGGCAAGTGATTAAGGAGAGGTGGTTGGCCATTGCCTTCCTCTGCTGCGTCTTCCTTGGTAGTCTCCCATCCAAGTACCAAACCTGCTTAGCTTCTGAGATCTGATGAGATCGGGCTATACTATACCATTCCACATCCCAAAAGAGTTATATAGATGCTAATTATGAAGCTAGACATCTTATTTGATGAAAAAATAGTTTTAATTTTGCTTCCCCATTATATGAATCATACAAACCCAGAACTAGAAGGGACCTCAAGGGTCATCTAGTCCGACCCCCTGCATAACACAGGAAATTCAGCACTCCCCCCACTTCCCCAGTGACCCCTGCTCTATGCCGAGAGGAGGCAGAAATTTCCAGGATCCTTAACCAATCTGGCCTGGAGGAAAATTCCTTCCTGATCCTAAAGTGGCATTTGGCATTACCCTGGGCCACAAGAATCAAGCACTGGCTCATTACTTCCCTCCTTCCCTCTCATGATGTGCCTAAATTCACAGAATCTGTATTGCTGAATGGCCATCTAGCCTCTGCTTAAAAACCTCCAAAGAAGGAGAGCCCACCTCCTCCCAAGAAAGCCTGTTCCACTGGGGAACCACTGTAACTGTCAGGAAGTTCTTTCTAATTTTTATATAAAACTCTGTTTATTTAATTGCAGTCCATTGGTTCTGGTCCAGCCTTCTGGGGGCAGCAGGAAAAAAACCCCCTCTGCTCGATTCTCTATATGGCAGCCCTTCAAATACTTGAAGATAGCTATCATAACATCTCTCAGTCATCTCCTCTCCAGGCTAAACATACCCAACTCCTTCAATCTTTCATCATAGAACTTGGTCTTCAGACCCCTCACCATTTTGTTGCTCTCCTCTGGACACGTTCCAGCTTGTCGACTTTCTTCTTAATGTCCCAAACTGAACACAATACTCCCAAGTACTCAAAAACTCACGAGTCTTCATTTTAACCCCATTTTCCATTTCCTCATGCTGAACTTTCCTGTATAGAAAAATTTGGGCACTGCTGTACTTTGCGCTGCCAGGCCTCCAGAGGAGATGTAGAAGAACATAATTGTATAGCTGCTGCCTACCAGTGCAATCCTAAACCAAGTTACATCCTTCTAAATCCACTTAGGAAGTGTAAATCTGTTTAGGATTGTACTGTACTCCACTAATTTGGTACCAAGACTAAAAATAGAGAAAGTAAAAGACAAGACTTACTAAAGTAAGTTAGTGACCTGGGGCAGAAACCTAAGCTAACCACGCCCCAATTTTGGTTGATTGGTTTATGAATGAAAGAAACTGAAACAGAAAATTGAAAAATGTCTGTAATAGCATGTATTTGAAAGAGACGTCTGCACCATCTTCTGTCTGCTACTAGTATAACTTGACTATTTGTCTTTGCTGAATTCTGTTCAAACAAACAGCATGAGGTGTTTTAGCTTGGTACCTAAAAGAAAGTAAAGTGGCAGGTGAGCCTCAAGGGGATGGGTGTTCCAAAGGCAAAGTGCCACCACAGAAAGAGCCCGATCTCTAGTCACCACCACCTGCCTCAACTCTGAAGGGGGCACACAGAGAGCAGGACTTGAGAGGCAGATCTTAATTGGCAGGTTGGATAGTATGGAAGGAGGCCCTGGTACCAAGCCATTTAGGACCTTAAAGGTAAGAACCAGCACCTTGAATTGTGTCCAGAAATAGATGTGTAGCCAGTGCAGGTCTTCCAGGACAATCCCTGAGAAGCTTCTCTATTGATCAACAGCACCTCAGTCTTGTCAGGACTGAGCTTCAGTTTATTGGCCCTTATCCATCCCATTACCTTCTCCCGGCACTTATTCAGGAGGATTCCCACAGACTCAGCTGTTAAAGCGAAAACTGAGTGTCATCTGCATACTGGTGGCATCTCATTCCAAATCCCTGGATAACCTCTTCCTGCAGTTTCATGCAGATGTTTAATATCCTGGGAGATAAGATGGAACCCAGCAAGATCCATACCATAATTGCCATGGGGCCAGGCAGCAGTCTCCTAGCATCACTTTCTGGAATTGGTTGGTCAAGCAAATGGAGCTACTGAAGTATGTTGCTGTCTATTCTCAGCCCAGCCAGCTTGTCCAGAAGGATACCATGGTCAATGGTGTTGAAAGAAGAAGAGGAGATTGGATTTATACCCCACCCTTCACTCGGAGTCTCAGAGCGGTTTACAAATGCCTTTCCCTTCTCCTCCCCACAACAGACACCCTGTGAGGTAGGTGGGGCTGAGACAGCTCTTTCCAGAACTGTCCTTGAGAGAACAGGTCTGACGGAACTATGGCTTGCCCAAGGTCATCCAGCAGCTGCAAGTGGAGGAGTGGGGAATCAAACCTGGTTCTCCCAGATTAGAGTCTGCACACATAATCACTATACCAAACCGGCTCTCATTGAGAGTCCATAAGAATCAACAGTGATGTACTTTCCAGGCAAAGGCCATTTCCTTCCCCAAGCCAGGCTTGAATCCAGACTGTCATGGGTTTAGCCAATCTGTCTCTTCCAAGACCACCTGAAGCCGTGTAACTCACCCACTCAAGCCCATTGCCCAAGGATGAAATATTAACCAATGGGCAGTAGTTGTTCAAGTCATTTGGTCCAGGGATATTTTTCCAGGAATCAAGAACCAAAAGGGTGAGAAGAAAGTCTAAGAAAGGGCCAATATTAAAAACCTAGTTAAAACTTATAATATACAAAAATACAAGTATTTATTAGAAAGACAGTTAAAAACATACATCAGGGCCTAATGAAAGCCTCGTAAAAAAAGTATAGCCAATACACATGACCTGACGCATTTCTGCCTTTTTGGGGCCTTCTTCGGAGGTCAAACGATATTGAAGTACACATAACTGTCTTAAATACATATTGCAATAAAATAACCACTAAGTGACTATTGGACCAGAGCAGCAAGATCTAAAGACACATGAGAAAGAGGCCTCAAAAGGTGAAAGTCATGTGTCTGATGCCAAATGCACAGTTGTTGAATTAGAACATCTTCCAGTTTAGGTCCAAAAAGCACCTGTGTGGCTATCAAAGTCAGAGCAAGAGTGTCCTCAAGCAAATAGCTTAAACTTCCTCAAAAAACCAGGATCACGAAACCGCTGGGAAAATCCAGCGAAGCTTCATGGTGGCAAGGCTTGGAGTGGGATATTGACCAATAGAATTGGTCCAGGTGTTTCCCAACCGGGAGCTGCAACCCTAGTTTCATTCTATATTTTACAGGATTACATCTGATTTTGTGCTAGTGCTTGTTTGCCTATCTGTCAAAAGGTGGAAGCGCTCCGACCTCATCCACGCTGACTGGTCCACTTGCTCTGTTGACTGCATTTCGTTACAAACTGCCCCTCCAGTCCCGGCCTCCCCCTTTCTGTTGTTTCCTGTGCCTGCATGTGCAATCTGGAGATAGGCTTCATGCAGCCGAGGAACCCAGCTCGGACGCAAGAAAATGTATGCGAAAACCATTTGTGGGTGTTCAAAGCGCCGCTGAGCCCCCGCTTCTTCTTCGGTGGTTCCAACCGTCCAGCAAAAGTGAAGAGGCGCCCCCCCCCCCACAGGCAGGGAGTCCCTCAGACTGGCTCCTCCTTTCGGTTTCGATTTTCCGCTACTGCAGCACCCGCAGCGGAAGGAGCGGAGCTTGCCTCGGCTGCGGCTGATCTTGGACCCAGCTGCGGGGAAACGAAAGCTTGTTGCTGGAGCGCTCCGCAGCGGAGAAGAGGCGCGTGAGTCGGAGTTTATTTGGAGGAGCAGCAGCAAGCGAATTCCCGGCTTCGTCAGTAAGTAGAGAGGGACTGGGGGCCTGGCGGTAACCAGGGGCAGTAGGTAGGGGAGTCCCGTAGCGGGTGGGGGCAGAGGGCCATGGCCACAGTGGCAGTGCGTGACAGGCGGGAGGGGGAGGGGAGTGGCGCACGGCCCCCTGCAAAATTGCTTTCCGGCCACCTTTAGAAACGCAGAGCTCAAACTCACGCGCCAGTGTGGCTCTTGATCGTTTCAATCGCATTTGAGCCTTTCGGCGTTCTACGGTGTACGGGTGGGGGTGGGGAAGTTTCTGGATTTTTCTCTGTGCAACCCGATCCTATGTAGGCTTATGCGGAAGTAACCCATTTGAGTTCCCATAGATTGGAATATTTCAGGCCGTAATCCTGATCGTGTTCACTTGGGAGTAATTTTAACTGAGTTTAGTTTGGATTAATATACATAGGATCACACTGAAAAGAGATGCACCTCTTTAACTGTTCTGTGGAGTGCTTTGAGGACCGATTGGTAGCTTACCAACAGGCCAGGCAGGGATGTAGTCAAATGAATGACAAGCATTTCCAACAGAAATAATGGGAACTGCCTGAAGAAGGCCTGTTGGATATAATGGGAACCACCAAAGCCACCTGTCTTGAATGGGCGTCATTAAAATACATTGAGGTACTGGATGGCCCAGACTAGCTTGATCTTGTCACATCTTGGAAGCTAAGCTGGGCTGGCCCTGGTTAGTATTTGGATGGGAGACCGCCAAGGAATACCAGGGTTGCTATGGAGAGGCAGGCAATGGCAAACCACCTCTGAATATCTCTTGCTCTGAAAATCTTACTGGGGTCGCCATAAGTCTACTTGATGACCTAGAAACAGAATGTTGGCATATAGCAGGGGTGTCAAACATAAGGTCTGGGGGCCCAGAACTGGGCCATCCAGGGCTCTTATGCAGCCTGCGAGCAATTAGTCACTAGTGTAAGGGAGGGAACAGGAGGCTGAGGGGGAGTGGGCAGCATTGGAGTGTCTGCCCAGTGCCACACCGCTGGCTCTCCAGTCCACCCATATGGGTTTTCCTTTGCACAAACCCCCCCCCCCAGTTCATGGGGCCTTGCAGGAAAGAATTTACCAACTTGGACCTTACCAACTGCTGCACTTTCTACAGTTTGTATCTCTGGGACCTGGCATTAATTTTTATGGCACACATGGCCCAGCCTGACAAAGTGACATTTATGTCAGATTCAGCCCTTGTAGCAAATGAGTTTGACACCTCTGCCCTAGAGATTTCTGAAATGATGTGTGTAGAATGGCAAATGTGTTCTGCATTCTTCCTGTTGGTGGGGCGATTTACCGTTGAGATTGGTGTGTGGCCACCAGTGACATACCTTGTATATTTGGCACCCGGAGTAGATCATTTTTAACACCTCCCTCCCCCAGCTCCACTATCGTTTTCTATTCCCCCACTTCATTCCTGGCTTGTCATCTCCTGGCGTAAGCCACACCCACTTAGGATCCATCCACCACTTCTGCTTCATAGGCAGCTCAAATATGGCAGTGCCCTATGGCTCCTCACAGTTCCCAGCCTCTGAGTTGTTATTGAAGTTTGCCTGGGGTACTTAGTGCTGTCTATGAGTTTGCCTGGGGTACTTAGTGATGGCAGCCCCATCCTCTCTGACCCTTCCACGCTCAGGACTAGTTAGCCTAATTAACCATGTTCTTTCAAGCTGGGGGGAGGGACTAAGGTAAATATTATTATTTACCTTAGTGTCCCACCACCCTGCCCTTGGTACACCACTAGTGGCCATTGTGCTTGTAATTAGCTTCCTAAAGAAAGGAGGCAGTGGCAGAAACCAAGGCGTGAAAGGGGATTTTACCAGGTATCTTGTCCCAGAGCATCAAAGATCTAGAACAACATGTTCTAAAATTTCATATTTCAACATAACTGAAACATGCTAATTAAAGATACAACATGTTTTAATCAGAATTTCTTTCAGCTTCATAGGCATACAATAATGGCGAGCAGTCCGGCTGTGCCACGGAACTACTTGGCTAACCTTAATGAATATTGTCAGAGAAGCCGATTAAAATTGGAATATAAAGATGTCAGCGTCACAGGCCCACCTCATGATCTTACGTAAGTTTTCAGAGGCTATCAAGAGGGATTGGGGTACGTTATGTAGAAAAGCTAGCAGGAATCCTCATGCACTTTGGGCATAGAGAGGATTGACAAATGGATAGCTTATTTTTGAGCTATGAAAATGGGGGCACATGCCCATGATGGAGTACATATTGCAAAATATACATTACAAAAAATCCAGTGGACAATGTAGAAGAATGAGAAGAACCATCCTACAAAGATTCCAGATAAATACTTTGTTTCAGAATATTTTCTTCAGAGATGGACTATTTTCAACTCACATAAAGTATAGCTGTATTCTTTCAAAGTTCCAATATTATTTGGTAAGTGCCCATCAGGTTCAAAACAGTAGAAGAAAAAGTGTCAGTGTTGGGCCACCAAACATTTTCAAACAAACAGTCAAAACTGAGACTTTACAGGGTTGATATAGCTGTTTTCACTGGATTTTTTGTAATGTAATGTATATTTTGAATATGTATTATAATATGCATGTATTTTGATATTTCAGCACACAAATAGAATTCTGCACAAATTTGTAATAAGTTGTTTTCTTTTTATTAAGCGCGTTATATTGCACAGTTCTTCCCCTTTCGTTGTTTTGACTTATAGACTGTGTTTCTTCTTTTTGCTTTGTTCCAATTAACAGTCAGGTTGCCACATTTTATACTTTTAAAGGAGTTATTGCTCACAGCAGTGCATTTTGTTTGAGGCACACAGCTTTTTGACAAAATTCCAAATGTTTTCTGATGCATACACTTTGCACCAAACTATACATTGTACACATGTTGGTACCCGTATCCTTTTTTTCTCCTGGGGGAGGTGGATTAAGCAGAAAAGGGGGATTGGGGAATTGATCAGAAAAGTGGCAGGTGACGAGGGAGAGGGAGGTCCTAACCTGGGACTTATCTTCAGGAATGGAAGAAGGCGAGGGAAACAATGAATTTCCAGTGCAACACAGAAAATGTACCTCCTATGTTCACCCTGCTCCTTTGCTACTGACTTAGCCTTCTGAGACTGTCATTAATTTAAAAAGAAGTTCACAAGTCTGTGTGATGTCTGGTTTGGCTCATAGATACTGCCTGGATAAAAAGCTGTTTAATAATAGGCAGCTCTTTAGAACAGCTTCTGGACTGTGTGAGCAAGGCCTACATTGTACAGATTTGATACATTTTGGTATACTTCCCTTAGTAATTCCTTCCTAATGATGAAGTGGGTGCCAGCTGGCAGGGTGTTGAGAAGTGGGGCTCCTTTTGCAACGTTGTGCCTTTCTACTGTCTCAAGAATGGTGTGAAGTCTTCTAGAATGTCAGAATCTTCCTTGCATCCTTCTATCAGTTCAGTCTTTAGGAAAGGAATGTTACCTTTTGCTTCTGTAGCCAATATTGCATGTGCATTTGCCACTTTCTAAAATTGTTCAGTGGCAGTAGCAGGAGATTTGATGTGTTTCATTTGCAAGCAAAAACAACTGTTTTCACATTTTAATCACTAAGAACACAGCATTTCTTGTCCAGTTGTGTGTAGATCAGAAAATAATCCTTGGATTATTTGAAGGGAGTTGAATTAATTGAAGAGAATGAGGCCAAATTATTATATGAATGAAGTGAATTTTCAGATGGACATTAAAATGCATCAAACCGACTATTCCACAAATGGCCAGATAAAAGAGGATAACCCTTCAAATTGACTGTTCAAATCTATGGATCCTGCTAAATTGTCTACTCTCCAGCAATCTTCTGGAACTCATAATGTTTCATGTAGACAGCTACGTTTGAACCTTTTCTCTGTATTTATTTCAGGCATTCATTTAGGATAGTTCTGTTACATTTATTGGTCTGAGGCTGTGTATCGCATTCTGTAAGGCCATTTGGTGGCATCCCTACAGACCATATTGTAAGTAAGATATCACTCAAGACTTATTTGTGTCAAGTCTGTGGGATCCCAAAATATGTGGCCAGTACTGCTCTAGGGCTTTGATACTGGCACTAAATCTGCAATTTCAGATAATGTTCTCTGATGATAATAGCTTATTATATTACATGAAATAAGATAATTTCTACAGTTCATGGAATCAGGCTATAACAGAAAAATTAAATATCATATGATGCCCAGAGAAAGTAGTTTTTGTGCTAGGGTGTCCCCTAGCCCGTAAGACTATCAAGCAGTTGATTTGAAGATAGCTACCAATAATATCGTCTGCTGGGCTAGGAACATTTGTTCTAATCTCCATATGTTCTTTACAATCCCAGAATATGTCTTTAACCTTACAGTTCCACAATACAGGCTAGCAAGATTAAATGTGCCACTGTTGGCAATCTCTGAAGGCCGTGTATTAGGTATACCTTTTTCTGATAGACATTGCAGTTGTGGTTTAGGGATAACAGAAATTGTGAAACATGCTAGAGAGAAATTGATCAAACCACTTCTGTGCTGCTGGTGAGCTTCCCCTAGATATTTCAGTTGCTAAATTTTTATGGATTCTAGGCCAGCTGTTAGCTGAATTCCTTGTTCAGGCCATGAGAGTATGGGCAGCCTGTGACAAGACTTCTCTAATATGGTATAGTTTGTCCTCTCTGGCTTGAATTCTTCCTTTCTTTCTCTTATTCCTAGTTGGAATTGATTGATACTGCTCAAGACCTGAAGGTAGGAGCAGAGAAAGAAGGAAGGGAAAGAAAGGAAAACACTAATGACTTGATGCATTCTAACAGCCATTCTGAAGGAACCACTGTATTTTAGTCACCTTTCACTATCATGTTTGTTGCATTCCTTCCCTAATTTCTGCATGCTTGAAAGGACATTCGTGTATGGCACAACATGACCAGATACTGCTGGGCCAATACAATCTCTATACTTGCTTCTTTCCTTTCACACCTCCGGAAGTGAAGAATATTTTCAAGTGGTGGTGGTGTGCTTTTTAAACATATTTCAATACATGTGTAATAAACATTCAGAAATGGAGATTTACAGAAACCAAACCTACCTGAGATTTCATGTTTATTCAGTGATATTAAAAGTGTTTTGTGAATAATTTTCATTATTGCAGATTCACTGTTATGGTTGTAATAGAAAACAGAAATGGAGATTTACAGAAACCAAACCAACTTGAGATTTCATGTTTATTCAGGGATATTAAAAGTGTTTTCTGAATCATTTTCATTATTGCAGATTCACTGTAATGGTTGTAATAGAAAAAAAAGAATATACCCCAGCAACAGGTAAATCCAAGAAGGAGGCAAAAAGTTGTGCAGCAAAATTAGCTTGGGATGCTATACACCAGGAAATGGAGGTAAGTGGATTGTGTAGAGTGCAGACGCTGGGACACTGCTGATGTTCAAGAAAATGTTTTAGCCAGAAAACAGCAATAGTCATTTGAGCACTAAGCATTTATTTATTTACTTTGTATATACCCTGCCTTTCTCTCCAATGGGGACTTAAACTGGTTTACATCATTCTCTGCCCCTCCATTTTATCCTCACAAGAAGTTTGCAAGGGTTATGTTAGGCTGAGAGTATGTGACTGGCCCAAAGGAACTCTGCAAGTTTCCAAGCAGACTGGCCATTCAAACCCAGGTTTCCTTGGTCCTTGTCCAACACTCTAGCCACTATTTATTTATTTCACACAAGCTTTCTCATGTGAAGAAGGATCCAAGGTGGCTTATAGAAAAAAAATCACCTTAAATCAGGTGTGCCATACAATAAGCAGTACCAGAAATCTCACATGACATGGATCAAGTGAGTCACAGTCAGATAAAAATTATTTCAGGGTCCCACATACCATGTGTGTATGAATGTGGTCAGACGGTGTGCCGAAGCGGTTTAAACTGCTCCGGTTCTGGCCGGACTATATTTGATCTGGGACAAGAGCGGTCACATGTACCTCTCTCACCGTGCAGCACATTGCTCCCGGGCGTCCACACTACAGGTGCGCAGGAGGACGCATCGGCGGTTTAAATTTTTTTCCACAGTTTGCACATGCGCAGAACAACGTATCCCACCAAAGCATGCCCTGAAGCGAACACTTCCCTTTAAACTTTTAAACCAAAACTGGCCTCCGTGAGGTCCCGGACTCATCTAAAGGCTAAAACTGGGCACTGTTTAAATTTGGTTTTATTAATGCCAGGGCGAAGCTCCGCCCAAGCGCATATAACCGACACTAAAAATAAAAAAATGGGCGAAAAGTGGAAGCCTCAGGCAGCTTTCGAGCGGGGAACAGGAAGTGGCTCTATACCAGCGGAGGAGCGATCACACGGGGGAAATGTGGCTGGAACCGGAGCCGCAGGAAAATGCCACTTGGGGACCTGGTAGCAAAATACTCTGGTTTAAAGGTGGTTTGGGACGGTTGGGGACGGGAGGCAGATGTTGGCTGTGTGATAGCCTGTATAAAGTCCGTTTCTAACCGGCACGTATACCGGTTCAAATGGCCCGTCTGAATGTGCCCTATGTGTTCTTTTCTATTTTTTTTATATATAACATAACACACACACACACACACATTAGTATGTAACGTTATATGTAGTAAAAAAAATGGCTTGATGACTGATGAAGCCACAAAATGCTGAGAGAAGCTGAGAGTCAGTTAAAGGGTTGGGAGAAATGGAAAGAAGTGTGAAGGTGGCCTCCCAGCCCCCTGTGTGCTTGCAGAATCCTGCATGAGGAGAACAAATGCAAATATGAAAATGAGATATGCAGATCTGCCGTCTGGCCAGTGACCAATATTGCAGCTAGTGAAAACCTACTTGGCACATTCTTTAGAATGAAATTAAAAAACTGAAAACATTTTCAGACATTTTCCTACTGTGTCTACAAACCCAAGACCTGTATTCAGCTAGACGGCATCTTTCTGTTTTTGGTTTGTCACCATGGACACAAGAAAAATGTAACTCATTGTTCAGCAGAGTGATATTTTGAGGAGTGTCAGTCCCGCTGCCAAATGGATACATGGAGTTTAATGTCAGAGAGACCTGGCCTGTTCCTCTAGTTAGCAAGGGGATAATTCAGTTAGGCTCTTAGAGTCAGCAGCCAGTCTCTGCTATGAAGTAGATTAATTTGCACTTTTCCTTTTTACAGGCACATCCTACTTCAGCAGCACTGCAGCAGCCACAGCCATCTCCATACCCATCTTCACCACCTCCACAACCTCTACAGTGCGCTGCACTGGATATGACGCCTTCTGTTAATTATATTTCCTTGCTCAATGAATACGCACTAAAGAATAAAGTATCTGTTCAGTATCCTTTGAAGAATAAAATTGGAGAAGACCATAAGCCAAAGTGAGCTATCATAATCCTGGGATGGATGCGAATGTGTGTGGAGGGTGAGGGGGGCCCCCCTCTTTTTAAAATTAATGCTGTTAGGTAAAGGTTCCCTTGCTTGAAAGCCAGTTGAATCCGACTCTAGGGTTGCGGTGCTCATCTCCGTTTCAAAACCGAAGAGCCAGCGCTGTCCGAAGACATTTCTGTGGTTGCGGCCGGCATGACTAAACACCAAGGCGCACGGAATGCTGTTACCTTCCCACCGAAGTGGTACCTATTTATCTACTTGCAATTTCTTGCTTTCGAACTGCTAGGTTGGCAGGAGCTGGAACTAGAGATGGGAGCTAACTCCATCATGCGGCACACTCGGGTCTCGAACTGCTGAACTACCGACCTTCCACAGCCTGCAGTTCAGTGTCTTAACCACTTGAGTCACCACAGCTCCTGTTAGTGACTTGTAAATGTTGGTGGGCTCAGTTTAGCACCAAGAATTTCTTTTCAGTTCTAAATATTCTATTATATCTATAGGAAGTCAGTTAAATATATAATGAAGACTTTGGGATCACAGCCTGTCGTAACAGTTTTATAAAATTCTAAACAAATAAGCAGATAGTTGAGGTCTGAAAATCAGAGCAGCGTACAAAGTATTGCCTTTAAAATATATATTATTGACTAGCAGTTTGTCAAGCATGGGGATACTATGGCTGTTTATCCCTTTTGCTCCCCAGTTTTATCAAGAAGATGGGTAAGCCTGGAGAGCTTTGTGTGGTCATCAATCTGATGCCATTTGTTTGTAATGTTTACTCTGCTGTCCGTCTTTCCAATTACTAAAGCAAAGAACATGTGATTGCTGTGGAGAACAGTAACTGTGTCCAATTCAGCTTTCCCTAAATTGTGATATTGTTTAGGTGCTCATTTCCTTGCTTCTGCACCATATCATGGAGACTGGGAAATACAAGTTGTAGCTGTTTCAGCATGGAATAGATTGACCTTGACATGGGGTTGCCATGTTGGACATGGCAGCTTTGTGCTTGTATCATATAATTTTTCCTAGAGAGGGGGCAAATAGTGAGGTGAGACAGAAGGCAATGAATGAGTTCACATTTTAACATGACAAAGAAGGGATTTGAAATCCCTAACACAGCTAACATGGCGTTAAAAAGATTTAAAAGATTTTAAAAGGGCAGCTTCCCTAAGTTCAGGGCAACTTTCATTTGAGTATAATTTAAACTAGGTGCACGTGTACAACTGCCCAAAAATCTTCAATTAAAAATTAATTTAACATGCCAGTAAAATCTAGTGGAGCTTGTGGGTTGCAAATGAGTACTGGGTTTGGGGAGTATATTTTATTTATTTATTTATTGGATTTATATCCCACCCTCCCCGAAGGCTCAGGGTAGCTAACAAAGAGGCACAAGTTCCAAAGTTAAAACAGATAAAAACAGAATAAAACAATACAATACAAACACTAAAGTGTTGGTGCTCTAGATGTCACAGAATCAGTAGTTTTGGTAGTTTATTGATAGTCGTTCCTCTTTGTAGTATGTCTGTGTCGTCTGCATATAATAAGATGGGTATTGGTCTGTTTGCTAGGTTTGGGGGTTGACAGTCTGGAGAATCATAAGGGAATGTCTGATCAACTGACTCTTTGAGAGCTGGTATGCCATATTGCTTTACATCCACCCCACTGCTTCCTTATGTTTATGTCAGCAATGTAACACACAGCACAATTTGCCACATGGAAACTGTATCATTGTTAGTTTCCCTTCCAGCTGTGCTGGCCATTGACACTTTAGTTCACAGGCATGGAGAGCCCCCACATGGAAGTAGAGGTCATGTGGTTTGGGTAATATATGGTGGACTGACCTGAATTTCAAAAAGATATTGTCAGTCATGTCTCGGTGCTAGAAATTTGCTTTACTAGTTATTAAATGAAAACTGATGTCAATTTATCTGCTTTACTTGCATGTGAGTAGGAAGGAGGTTTTATATACAGGGAGGCTGAAAGCATGTGCTCTGTTGAATAGATACCTGGAATATCTGTAGCCCAGTCCATTTCTTTCCTGTAAAACTGACACAACTAGACATTCTTGCTGCTGTGGCTACAGTAGAATTTTGTGCAAGAAAGTGATACAGGGATGGATAGTTCTGTTTCTAATTTGGCTAGCTATTGCAGGAAAGATCCTGTTTGGTGTAATTCTACTTTGCCAGTGCTGAGAACCCAATCCTCCTTTCCACTAGTCCTTCCCTGTCCTTAGATTCTCCTTGTGTCATACTCTAGAAATTAGTAGTATACCTGGCTTTTAGTGATAGTACTGAGTTGAGAGGTACCTACATGATGCACTGGGAGCCTGATATCACACTTTGTTGAAATGCATTCAGTGATCACTGTTTTTTTCCTCTCCTCTCCTTTCTTACCTAGTTTTTTCTGTGCCTGTGAGATTGATGGTAAAGTTTACGGTGAAGGTACAGGACAAAACAAGCAAAAAGCAAAGTTAAATGCAGCCAAGCAAGCATATGAAAAGTTGTTGACCCAACCAGTTTTTAGAGTATGTATTATGTTAAATTCATTAACATTTTAATTAATTATTATTTCATCATGCAAATTTAAAACAGACTTATTCCACATACTTCATATCCATGTTCCTGGTTGAAAAAAACACATGCTGCCTTTCTGGGAACAGAATCTGTGGAGTAGGTCGTGTTTTACGTTGTATTATATTCTTTTGGTTTTCTCAGAATAGGCTTACTTTCTGGACAGAAATAGCATACTCAAAGGACTCAGTTTGACTAGTGGAATATTAAACAAAAAGGTAAACAAATAACACTTCTGGGTATGGGTCCAGCCATTTCTCAGCAGAAGGTACTGTCAGACCCTGCATTCTTTAGATTTGGGATGTGAAGCTGGATATCACTGATCCAGTAAAATGCCTGAGCCTGATATAGTCAGTACTGGATCAGCAATATCCGATATCACAAAAGCCCCCCTCTCTTATAGTTCTTAATTTCTTTATTTCTGCTTCTGAAAGTATTGGCACTAGGAATCATGTTGGGAGGCATGAGGTTGTAGTGGCTATAGAGGAGGGACTGTGCCCAGGCTAGTACATGGCACATTAGCTCTTTAAAGTTTAAATGGCCATTATTATCTATGGGTGGTAGACCTGGCCTCTGGAGGACCAAATCTGCCTATAGGAAATAATGGTCCTTTAAAGTCCAACATGGCACTGATGACCTGAGGGCCAGGGTAGGCATCCTCTCTTCTTCCTTCCCTGTTTCTGTTGCCTATGGTTGATATTTACGCTTTTATTTCCCTTTTAGTTCTGAAAGGGCATGATTATCGTTGTCATTAAACTGGGAGTATTGTTCCTGATGCAACTTTCCAAAATGTAATAGTACTCCCACTATTTTTAATTTTTTTAAATTATAAGTTTAATAATAAACTAACAGTAAAATTCATAAAAAACAGAGACATACAATCAAGGGGAGTATCAACAGAAAATCAGGGCAGGGAAGGTCAACATTACATCTCAGGTTTGAATGGAAAATTGTCCGCGCAAAATATTTTGGAGTCTACCCCATACTTCAGGAGAAGGACCTCTTCTGCACCCTCCTTCCCTGAAATACCTGGGACCTGCCAACAAGAAAAAGAAACACCTCCAACTTCACATACAGACTAAGGGGGAAACGAAGAGGCCAGAGCAATGGGCTCACCATCCCAAATTCATATACAGACTAAGGGGAAGAAAGGGAAAAGGCCAAAGGCACTTCATAGATAGAAATGAGTACTCCCAATATTTGATGAAAACAATATTTAATGAAATTACATTTTCCTGACTTTCCAACAAATAATTAAATGATAGTTTTTGAAGTGCACACACCCCTAGCTTGGATCCTACAGAATGTCCCCTGATAAAAAGGGATTTACATGAGCAGAGTAGCCCTTTCCTGCTAAAGGTCCAGGAGAACAACTCCCCAAGGAACAGTATGTATGTGTGTGTGTGTGTGGGGGGGGGGACTGGAGGATCTACAGTGGAAGGGAGGAAGCAGGAAATCATCTCTCTTTCCATTCATGGAAATCCTGCAGGGTCCAACCTATAAGGATGACATCATCATGTGATAAGTTTTTCCATTGTGTCCCATTTTTTTCCATTCCCTAAAAGCATCTAGTGACAAGTGATGGTGTCACAAACCCCCCATCAAACTAGGCTTCCAGGTGGAAATTGCATTCATAACTTGACTTTTTTTGCTATCAGAATAACCAACGTATTACTACATAGTGAATACATTTCCTTCCATTTGATTTGTCGTTACTGCATTAATTCATATTGTTTTTCAGCCAGAACAAAGTGCTGCTTCGATAAACCCTTCACTCAGTAACTCCCATGAAACTTCAGAAGTGACATTTATGAAGTAAGTTATATATATAATGAAACTTGCCAGAGTAGTTTTGTAGACAGAGATCTGCCTGGTTTGTTGATTTATTTATTCACATTTTTATCCCACCCTCCCGGCCAAGGCTGGCTCAGGGCGGCTCACAAGCAGATAAAAATCCAACAGTACATACAAACACATCAGCAATTAATAGAAATACAATATTAAAATATCATGTTAAAATCAAATATATAATAAAGTGCTAGGTTTTATAACATCAGCCACATTGGTCTGCACAGATGTCATAAGAAAATGCTTCAGATGACATAAATCATAAGGGGGATTGGCTCGGGCAGTAGTAGAGGGTCCAGTGGGTCAGGGCTTTTCACCAAGAGATGTCAGTTGCTGTTTTTAATAACAGTGGTAGTCGTGGTGGTGATAGCAGTGGCGGCAGCTCTAAAAGCCTGGTGGAAGAGCTCTGTTTTACAGGCCCTGCGGAAAAGGTCCCACAGGGCCCTGATCTCCTCTGGAAGCTCATTCCACCAGAGTGGAGCCGCCACCAAAAAAGCCCTGGCCCTGGTCGTCACCAGCCTGGCCTCCTTAATACCTGGGAGGACCAGCCAGTTCTGGATCCCTGAATGCAGCGCTCCCCGGGGTACATATGAGGAAAGACAGTCCTTCAGGTAGGCAGGTCCCTGGCCATAAAGGGCTTTAAAGGTAAAAACCAGCACCTTGAAGCAGATCTGGTATGCTATAGGCAGCCAGTGCAATGCCTGTATCACAGGCTGGATATGCTCCCGGATACGGAATCTCATCAGCAACCTGGCCGTGGCATTTTGCACCAGCTGCAGCTTCCGGATTTGGGACAAGGGCAGCCCCATGTAGGGGGCATTACAGTAATCCAGTCTTGAGGTGACCATTGCATGGATCACTGTTGCCAGGTCGCTGCATTTGAGGAAGGGAACCAACTGCCTAATCAGCCGGAGGTGGTAAAAGGCTGACTTGGTAGTGGCTGCTACCTGGGCCTCCATTGTTAAAGAGGCATCCAGGAGCAGTTCCAGACTCCTAATCTCCGGTGCTGGCACCAGTGGTGCCCCATTGAAGGTCAGAAGCGGGATCCCGACCCTCGAACTGCTGCGACTCATGCACAGGACCTCCGTCACTGTCAGATTCAATTTCAGCTGGTTCAGCCTAAGCCAACCAGCCATGGCTTGTAACGCCTGGTCAAGCTCTTCCGGTTTGGAGTTGGACTGGCCATCCAACAACAGATAGAGCTGGGTGTCATCTGCATACTGGTGACAACCCAGCCCATGCCTCCAGGCAATCTGGGCAAGAGGGTGCATATAGATGTTAAAAAGCATTGGGGACCGCCCCGCCCCTTGAGGCACTCCACATTCCAATGGGTGCCTTCAGGATAGCTGATCCCCCAGTGCCACTCTTTGTCCCTGGTCTTGGAGAAAGGAGGCAAGCCACTGTAAGGCCAGTCCATGAACTCCAATGTTGGCGAGGTGCCAGATCAGTAGCTGGTGGTTGACCGTGTTGAATGCAACCGACAGGTCTAACAACAACAGTACTACCGTTCTGCCCCGATCCAGGTATCTCTGGAGGTAATCTGTGAGGGCGACCAGTGTCGTCTCCGTCCCATGACTCAGGTGAAAACCGGACTGGGAGGGATTTAAAATGGAAGCGTCATCCAAAAAGCCCTGTTGTACTGCAGCTGCCTCTAGATGACCAAGCATGGCTGTATTGTTGCTGTGTCAAGTGCTTCTGGCAGAAGGGGGAACATAGAGTCCAAGATCAAGTTAGCCTTTATTGGCATAAATTGTCGATACAGATTATACAATTTAAGAGCAGATTAAAAACACACTTATAAAAATACTATGTCTCTAGGATCCTTTGACACAGCTTTAAAACAGAGTGGAGAAACTTGGCCACCTTCTCAGTGATGTCAGAACAGAAGTCATTCAGAAGTCTGTGTACCTTAAGTGCATCAGGGCAATCCATCATGCTGCTCAAAGTAGAACACAAATATATATACCCTAGATCCAGATCTATACCTTAGATCTATACCTTACAGCCAGTTTGGTGTAGTAGTTAAGTGTGCGGACTCTAATCTGGGAGAACCGGGTTTGATTCCCCACTCCTCCACTTGCACCTGCTAGATGACCTTGGGCAAGCCATGGTTCTGGCAAGAGCTGTTTCTGTCAGAGCTCTCTCAGCCGCACCTACCTCACAGGGTGTCTGTTGTGGGGAGGGGAAGGGATTGTAAGCCACTCTGAGACTCCGAGTGAAGGGCGGGGTATAAATCCAATCTCCTCTTCTTCTTCACATACAGATGACATGAATAATTTACTCAACACATTTTTGTTTGCAGGGGCAGTATCTGGCTGAGTGAAATATCTTGTTAAATCTGCCATATAAAATGGCAGCAGGCATAGCATTGCATCTGGCTAGAATAAACACTCTGTTGTTGTGGAACCTGCAGGGAAGATAAATATGAGGCCATCTTCCCTGTCGTAAAAGGGATCTTAAAACTCAAAGGGGAGCAGGTTTTATTGGCTAAACTGTATAACGTCTGGTGCTCAATATCTAGGATCCTGTTTTTAATCTGTTGAAATGCTGCTTAGCCTAGTGGCTCCATCAACAACAACATCAGGCCATTGGCCTGGTCCAACATTGGCTTCTCTTATGTTCTTATAGAGTCCTCATGAACTGTTGTGTCTGCATTAGGGATTGACATGAACCAAACCACGAAGCAATTTTGCTCTGTTCGTGGTTTGGGAACAGAAGTGAGTGATATGTTCACTGTCACAAACTTCCATGAACTTTTAGAGTGGTTCATGCTGTTCATGGTGGTTTATGGATGGAGCAGAAAGCAGGGGTTTAAAGGGATTCTGAGTCCTTTTAAACCTCTGCTTTATTCCCCACAAAAGTTGCAAAAACAGCAGATTGTCAGGGAGGCTTCCCACTGCTCAGCTCTTTCAGGCTGTCTTGTACAATCCCGTCAAAGTTTTAAAAAACTGCAGCTCAAAAACTGCACTACCCATCTCTTTTGGGCTGTCTTCTGCAGTCCCTTAAAAGTTTAAAGGGAATGCAGAAAACAGCCCAAAAAACAGCTGCATGCTGGAGAGGTGCTCCCCGCCTCACAGCTCTTTCAAGCTGTCTTTTGCAGTCCCTTTAAACTTTAAAGAGATTACAGAAGAGAGCCCAAAACAGCTGAGCTGTTTTTTGGGCTTTCTGCAAACCCTGATTAAAGGGACTGTGGCTCTTTCAATGGGGTTTGCAGGGCCACAAACTAGTTCGGTTTGTGAATGAGCCTCCCGGATTAGTTCGTGGTTTGGTTTGTGGTTGAACCATGAACTGAACTTCATTTTCCGGGATCATGCCTGTCCCTAGTCTGCATTGTGATTCCTTGAACAGGGAAATGCATCTCTGTGCTTTTGCTGTTCCTGCAGCCACTGTCCTTTCTCTCCTGTTTCAGAGAAAATGCACCGAGTCAGGCAGAACCATAATATGTTACTGTGGAGAAAAAGAGTGGTATTCTTATATGCCCATTGACCCTAGGAATTTTGAAAGGGGAAGACCAAGCCAATGCTGCAGGCAGCTGTCATGCCATAAGCATAAAGTCTCCTTTTTGGACGGGGATATATTTCAAATATTTGTGTTTCAAATATTCCTGAGTAGTTTATGCTCAAAGTTAATTCAAAACCAGTACAATAAAAACCAGTACAAATAAAAACACAAAAAGGCAGCAAGCTCTGTGAAGAAGCATAAATTGCAGCTGAATTAACACAAATGAAAGTAATTTCAAGACCCAAACGTTTTCCAGAAGAGCAGTTTAACTTTGGTTTATGCTGCACTGTCTCCTCAATTTTTTGGCAAGCAGACAAATAGTCTTTTTGGTATTTGTTCTAGAATTTAAAGTGATTCAAAAGAAGTATACGGCTACCTAATCTGCAGAAGTCAGGTTCTTTTAACAGCATGTGCTACAGTTGAAAACACTGATGCTATTTTAAATTATAATCCAGACATTTATCTTTCAGGTCTGTTTATGAGATAATGGATCTTGATTAGTAACATCACAGTTTCCGATGCTATGCCCTCTCTCTGGCCTGATCCAGCAGGGCTCTTATGTTCTTAACTTCTGTACTTTTTCATTTTAAAAATACCTTGCACTCAATGGATGAAATACTACTGAAATGTATTCATTTGCTTTACAGTGGTACAGATTCTGGCTTGGAATCTAAGGGCATAAATGACAAACTGACTACTGAAATTGATGCTGTGCAAGTAAGTGAAATTTCTTATTTATTTTCAAATGTTTTTATTAATATTTTATAAAAGTAATAACACAACTAGAGAAGAGTTATAAACATTGTATCTCAGTAGTCATAAAGGGGTAAACACATTGAATCTCAGGGACAAGAAAAGTTGTGGAAGTATAAAGAGTGTATAAACAGAGGAGAACAGAAGTGTTAATAGGAAATGCACAGCTGAACAATGTACACATCAGAAGTATCATTGGAATGTCTTCTAGCAGTGGGATTGATTGAATCAGAGTTGGAGTAGTGTCAAATAAACTAGATTTATAGGTTGAATATCATTTTTGGCAATGTGTTCAAGAAACAGAAACCATTTCTCCATGAATCCTGTTTTTTGGGGGGAAATTTCTGTTTTATCCATTATGGATTGGTCCCATACCTTTGTGTACCAAAGCAAAAGTGTAGGGGCGGAACATGACTTCCATCACAGAACTATTGCAGTTTTGGCTGCTACTAAAAGGGTAATGATTAGTTCACGTCTGATTTTAGGAAGTGATAAATCATGCCAATAGTTTAGAAACAGACGTTCTGGTAGGAGTGGGACCATATAGCCTGTTATGGTGGTTATTTGTGAGAAAACGTCAGACCAGAAGACTTTTATGTACATTGCTACCAGCAGTGAGCGTAGGAGGTGATCTTGCCGCATTTTTTCCAACAGAGTGGAGAGTGTGATGAAATTATTAGTGTTTCTTGAGGGTGAGGTATCACTTTGGCATCAATGTATTATTGTTATATTGAAACTTATTTTCCTCTTTATGTTAATATAGGTAAGTCCTAGAGATCCTGCTGTGAAATCGAAAAGGTATATCAGTCTAACCTACTTCACAGGATGGTTGTGAGGATAATAATAATTATTGTATGGCAGCGTGTGTAGTGTAGCCAGGAGATCCTAAGATTGTCTGGCAGCCAAAAGTTCTAGCTCTTTTAGGATTATGCACCACTAAGTGGCGAGCTAGACTTGTTTCTAAGGCAAGAGACATTTCAGAGGTGGTTTGCCATTGCCTACTGCTGCGTCACGCCCCTGGTATTCCTTGGTGGTTGCACATTCAAATATTAGCCAGGGCCGACCTTGCTTAGCTTCCGAGATCTGATGAGATCATGCTAGCCTGGGCTATCCAGGTCAGGGCGGTTGTGAGGATAATGTGAATCTTTTGAGATGTATAGCTTAATCTTTGTACCTTAATTGGTTATCAGCTGGTGAAAATGATCAACTCTGAAATGTAATGTTAGTATGCTTCTGTGTCTGCTGCAAAAGAGTACAGTGTTTAATTTTAACTCTTTATTTTGCTAAAGGAAAGACACACCGTTGGCACCGAAATTTTCAAAGCTGCAACTAAGGGAACCAAGGGAAAGCAAATACACTATCAATAAGAGGTAAGATGAAACTGCTGTTGAATATTCAAGATTTATTTTTGCTCAGCTTTCACTTGGATTTGATAAAAATAGTGAAGTGAGATTCAACTTAGACCTACTTAGAAGTATATTTGTCAGAAAATGGCAAAACCCTAATGTTCAGGGAGAGTACAGCCTTCTCCATTTACTTCAATGGCCAGGACAACTACGAATGTGTCGTGTAGATGTCTGTAGCTTGGTGCTTGTGTAAGTGGGACCTCTCCGTGTGCTTCTGTGCTCCCGTACAAGTAATGATCCGGTGGATTATAGATAATGGGTTTTGTGTAAATCATAGCATTAATGTTGCTGCTGTAGTAGTCCTTGGAATGTAGTCTACAAAACTGAACTACATCTTGTGGTGTAGTTAACGGCACCCTAAAATACTAACAGCCTGAAACAATCCATGTTTATTACTCTCAGCTCTTTGCCGTGTGGGTTTTTAAAATCTGTTCTGGCTCTATCCTGCTTCAGTTTATCCCGTGATTTCTGCATTCATTTTCCTGCCTTTAGTTTTCAGTTCTTTTTGTTTTCACCTGGCACGTTTGAAACCACTTTTACCCCGCTCTTCTGGAAGCCAATTTTGAGTTGGCTGTTTCCTAGTGCATAATGTTTCTATCATTTTTCTTTGCCCTACCCAACTCCAGCCCACTTTTTAATAGTAGGACTCCCATTGTTGTTAAACCACTCCCTTTCCACCCCCACCTTGAAGACCAGTGATTGCAATAAAAAAGGCTGTGAAATATCAATTTATTTATTGGGCTTGCATCCCACCTTCCCTGCAAGCAGGCTCAGGGCGGGTTCCACCTGTGTTCATACAGTATGCCAATAACAAAACAATAACATTAAACAATACAATACAATAATTATAAAATACCATGCAGATCTAATCAATAACTCAGTAGCAAAGATGGAAACTATAGTAGATCCCAGTTGGTTGTTCGAAATCCAGGACGCTGATGGGAGGCCAGTTAAAGGACGGGACGCCCGCTGCCTCAACTAAAAGCCCAGTGGAAGAGCTCTGTCTTACAGGCCCTGCAGAATTTTAATAAATCCTGCAGGGCCCTTATCTCATACGGGAGCTCATTCCACAACGCGGGGGCCAAGGCCCAAAAGGCCCTGGCCCTAGTCGAGGCAAGTCGGACAACCCTGGGGCCAGGGACGACAGAAGGTGTTGATTTGTAGATCTCAGTGCTCTATGGGGCTCATATGGGGAGAGGCGGTCCTGAAGATATGTTGGCCCCTGGCCGTATAGGGCTTTAAAGGTAAGCACCAGCATCTTGAAACTGATCCGAAATTCAATAGGCAGCCAGTGCAGTTCACACAGCACTGAGTGGATGTGGGCCCACACAGGCGTCGCCGTCAACACCCATGCTGCTGCGTTCTGCACTAGCTGCAACTTCTGGAGCAGAGTCAAGGGCAGTCCCATGTAGAGAGAGTTACAATAATCCAGCCTGGAAGTGACCATTGCATGGGTCACTGTAGCCACGTCTCAAGGGGTGAGATATGGAGCCAGCTGCCTGATCTGCCTCAGATGGAAAAAGGCAGACGTGGCAATGGCAGTGTCCTGGGCCTCCGTGGAAAGGGAGGCATCCAGGAGCATCCCCAGGCTCTTCACCCTTGATGCTGGCACCAGTGGAGCCTCATTGAAGGATGGGAGCCTGATTCCTGGTCCCAGTCCCCCGCAAATCAGGTGCAGGATCTCCGTCTTCTGCGGATTTAGCTTCAGTCAGCTCTGTCACAACCATCCAGCAGCAGCTTGTAAGGCCCCGTCAGATCTTCTGGGGCTGAGTCCGGGAGGCCATCCATCAGTAGACAGAGCTGGATGTCATCTGCATACCGGTGGCACCCCTGCCCATTTTTCCGGAAAATCTGGGCGAGGGGGCGCATGTAGATATTAAACAACATAGGGGAGAGGATCACTCCATTCAGCACGCCACATTTGAATGGGTGCTACGGAGAGAGCTCCCCCCCCCCAAGCACCACCCTCTGTCCCCAACCTTGGAGAAAGGAAGTCAGCCACTGCAAGGCGAGCCCCCATATACCTGTGTCAGCGAGGTGGTGGGTTAACACATCATGGTCAACCATGTTGAACACTGCTGAGAGATCAAGAAGTATCAGTGGCGCCGAACAACCTTGATCCAGATGTCTCTAGAGATTATCCACCAGGGCGACCAACACTGTCTCATGGGCAGGGTGAAAGCTGGACTGGAAGTGATTCAGGACTTTAGCATCCTCCAAGAAAGCCTGGTCTGTGTTGCCACTGCCCACTACTTTACCCAGGAATGGTAAATTAGACACTGGGAGGTAGTTAAGTACCATAGGGTCCAAGGAAGATCTTTTAAGGAGTGGGCGCACCACCACCTCCTTCAAACCTCTTGGGAAGGTCCCCGTTGAAAGGGACAAGTTGCTAATCTCCCATAGGGGAGTCCATACCTCATCACTTCAAGCTCTAATCAGCCACAATGGGCAGGGATCCAGAGGGCATGTGGTAGGCTTCACAGCTGCCAGGGTCTTGTCAACTTCATCCTGGGAGAGCAGACTGAAGTGGTCCAAAATTGGACCTGAAGATGGCCAATGGGCTTCCAGTTCTTTTATTATATCAACTGTGGCTGGAAGGTCGCAGCAGAGCGACAAGTGTTTATCTGCAAAATAGCTCACAAATGCCTCATGGCTGATTCCAGTTCCCTAGCATTTGGCATGCTCTGAGAAAGAGTAGTCAGTGACCAAATAATTCTAAATAATTAGTCTGGGCAAGAGCTTGCAGACGCAATGGAAGTTGCATAAAAATCCCTATTTGCAGCCTTCACTGCCGTCTCACAGGTTCTCATAAATGACCTATAAGATGCTCTTGTAGCCTCGTCACGGGATCACGGCCACCCTCTCTCTAGCCATCTCAGCTCCCATTTCATCCACCGGAGCTCCGGGGTATACCATGGAGCTAGTTTGGTCTGGGAGTGAAGAAGGTGCCAGGGAGCAACCTTTTCAGTGGCTTCGGAAAAACGGTATTGCCAGTCTTCCAGTAGCACATCCAACGGGCTGCCAGGAGGAATTGGATCCCGCAGAGCTTCTTGGAACCTGTCAAGGTCCATTTGACTCTGTGGGTGAGCATAAATCTGCTCACCGCCTAAACAGGCAGGATTAGGGATACTCAGCTGGGCCTTCAGGGCAAGGTGGTCTGACCATGGTACTGCATCAGAGGTAATTCAATCCACCATAATCCCTGAGGCAAAGATAAGAACCAGTGTGTGGCCTGCTTGATGTGTAACAGTCAAAACAAACTGGGAGAGACCCAGTGCTGTCATGGATGACACTAGATCCATGGCCTGAGAGGAGGTTGCATCATCCGCATGGACACTGAAGTCTCCGAAGACCAAAAGTCTGGGATACTTCAAGGCCCAACTGGTTGCAGCCTCTAACAGGCCTGGCAGGACATTTGCTGGTGCGTTAGGCAGACAGTACACCAGCCAAATGGCCAAACTCTCCTCGGCCTCCCACACATTCAATGCTGGTTATCGTCCCAGAGAGTGGCCTAAAGGAGAAAGCCTCTCGGATGAGTAATGCCACTCCCCCCATCAGTCTGGGACTGTTGAAGGACCAAAAAACGTGGGGGGGGGGCAGTTGACTCAGGGCAACCAGTTCACTCTCCCTCACCCAGGTTTCAGTCACGCAAGCCAGGTCTACTACCTGCTCTACCAGATAATTCTGGAGAACAGAGGTCTTATTGTTAATAGACCTGGCACTGCACAACACCAGTGTCGTAGAAGGGTATACCTTCCTATCCCCACAAATGGGACGAAGGTTGGAAGAGGATTGAACACGTCCATATCTCCTTCATCTTCCCTTACCCCACCTTGTCCCACCACCATACCTTCTCCGCCCTGTCAGCACTGGCCTCCACCATCAGATCCTATTGGCCTAAATTTTGACCCACTGGACATCTGGAGGCAGGCACAATAAGAGATCACAATCCTTACCAACACCACAAGGACAATCTCATAATATAATCCTCTCCCAATTCCCATGTACCACCCTTCCCAGTTTCAAGAATTCCTACCACTAACAATTCCCAAAATTGATCACTAAAATATAAATTTCAATCTCTAATTCATCATTTTGCAGTTAATCAGTCAATCAATTAATTTAAAAAAGCCAATCAATTTAGTAGGGAAAACATCATAATCTACATAATACCCTTACCCACACTCTCTCTAACCCTACTAACTAATGATTATCTACCCAACAATTTGACCAATACAAATCTATGCTCCCTAATACTACACCAATCAGTCAATTCATACTAAAACCTATAATTATCTAATATTCTAATTTAGCAGGAATAACAACATAGTAAAGGGAAGGTAAACAATGTAAAATGGGGGCCAATCTTGGAGGTATAACTAGCTCCAATCCACAATGGGATGTCCATAAAATTAGCTGGCAATGGAAGTGCACTTTGTTCCAACAGGGCTGAAGCCCAGAAAGTCCCAGTCCACAGCTCTCTCCTGCACCTCACAAGTCCAATCAGAGGCTCTACCAGGAACCATCCAAACCCTAGCCCTGTGAAATAGAGCTGTCTGCAAAAACAAGAGCCTCTGTCAATCCTCAGGTTTGGTCGGGGGGCCCCAGAAGCACCCAGTGTAGGACAGAGAAACGTGGTGTTCCATGCTGGTCCGTCTTCCTGTCTCTTCCCTGGGACTGACTAGGTACATTGTTGGCAATGCAGTACTTCAGTATAGTAGTACAGCAGTAAACTGTAGTACAGGGCTTCCAACTTGTCTATCATTTGAGCAGCCCTGCTCCGCCAATCAGCTCCCATCAGACACAGCCAGTTCTCCTGGAGAGGAACAGCTTCCACAGAGGGAAGAGACCCAGGACGCCACTACAAAGCCAGCCGGTGGCTCAGTGGCTCCGCTGCCGCCTAGACAGGGAGTGCTCTTAGTGTTGCATTGTAGT